TTGGAAATTTGAAAGTTAATGGCAGTGATGTTCTAGGATTTCGCAATCTATTATGTGTCCAGCTACTCTTTCGAAACACACAAAAGCACTCATACATGGAATATTTTAGACCTGAGTACTGGAAATACCAATGTACTATTTCCGGAGCCAGAGGTCTCAGAGGTTGTGTGGATAGCGGACAACACTGTTTTATATATCAATGGAACAAACGCAGACATTGCCGGAGGAGTGGAGCTCTGGGTGTCGGATATAACAGACTCTAGCATAAGGTATACAGCCCGGACCTCCGCCACGATGGATGATGATTTTCTTCTAACACCGAAAAATTCTTAGATATAAGGCCGCCTCTCTAGCTGCGCCTCTGGCAAATCTTAAGGCCGTTTCAACTCCAAGCGGTATAAGCTACGTAGTTACAGGCCTCGCATACCCTAATGGTACTGCCTATAATGCGGAGATAGTAGAGGAACCTCTTTCTTCTGCACGCGTCTATGACTCGCTGTTTGTGCGCCATTGGGACACCTACATCACTCCACAAAGATACGCCATCTTCGCGGGCAGACTTTCAAACTCTAATGGAGTTTATTCATCCGCAAGCCCATTAAAGAACCTGTTTAGTGGAATTGAAGGGCTCGAATCGCCAGTACAACCTTTTGGCGGTACCTCGGATTTTGACATCTCCTCTGATGGACAGAAAGTTGCTTTTCTATCAAAGGACCCGGTGCTGAACCCTGCGAACAACACCGCATCGTATATCTATCTGGTTCCCCATTCTGGTTCCGAAGAGCCCGTTGCTATCAACTTGCCCTCGGAATCATATTCTCCGGGGGGGGCTTCCGCTTCACCCATCTTTTCGCCCAGTGGTAAAACTCTGGCATACCTCCAGCAAGACGAGAACGGCTACGAGTCTGATAAAAATAAAATATATGTTTATGACCTCGAGAAGCAAAGCACCTCTGTCCTATCAGAGAACTGGGACCGATCACCGGGGTCAATCAGCTGGTCTAAAGACGAAAAGAAATTACTGTTGATTGCGGAGGAGTACGGACGGGAAAGGCTATGGACGCTCCCTGCAGCGGCAAAGCATGCGGAAAATCCAAAGGCAGTCACTGGAGCTGAGAATGGATCGGTCGGTTTGGCGGTTCCAGTCTCGGAAGATGAGCTGCTCTTGTCGGCTTCGAGTTTTGTTTCCTCGACTGGATTTTCGAAGCTGGCATTGAGCAGCGGCAAGATTACTACGCTTTTGGACCCGAATGCTATAGATGAGGAGCTAAAGGGGCTTTCAAAAAGCTCAGTTGGGGATTTCTGGTATCAAGGTGCTGCTAGCAAGGTTTGTTCCCTTTGTGGGTATATTTGATGTGTGGATCTATTTTAATCGACTGATGTGGATGTCTTTAGGTGCACGGCTGGATCATTAAACCGGAGGGTTTTGATGAGCAAAAGGAATACCCTATAGCCTTTCTGATTCACGGCGGACCTCAAGGTGCATGGGTAGACGGATGGAGCACAAGGTGGTCTCCGAAGCTTTTCGCCGAGCAAGGGTATGTCAATCTTAACCTCAAATATGCACCCTCATGCCCTAACATTCTCTCAAAGATACGTGGCCATTGCCATCAACCCAACTGGAAGCACCGGATATGGTAAGGAGTTCGAGGATGCTATTCAAAATGATTGGGGTAAGTACTGATATCCGAATGATGTCGACTGAAGTAATCTAATTATGAAATTATAGGTGGTGCACCGTATGTAGACCTTGTCAAGGGGTTTGAATACATTTTGGAAATCTATCCTTTCCTTGATGCAGACAGAGCAGTTGCTCTTGGTGCCAGCTACGGTGGATATATGGTGAACTGGATCCAAGGCCATGATTTTGGACGCAGGTTCAAGGCTTTGGTGCGCACTACCTTCATACACGGATCGCTACTGAATATCTACTAACATCCTCAAGGTCTCCCACGACGGTGTGTTTTCAACTCTAAACCAAATAACCTCGGAAGAGCTTTACTTCCCTCAGCACGATGTAATTACATAAATCTCTATCAGGTGACCTCGATAGATTCAGTGCTGAACAAACTTCTTGATAGTTCAATGGAACCCTCTGGGATGACCGTGTAAATTTCGAACGCTGGGATCCTGCAGCGCATATTGCAAACTGGTCTACTCCTCAGCTGGTAATTCACAATGACCTCGACTACCGTCTCCCCGTCTCCGAGGGACTCGCTGTATTCAATGCGCTCCAGGTCAGGGGAGTTCCGAGTCGCTTTTTGAATTTTCCGGACGAAAATCATTGGTAAGTCACCTCATTTCTTCGATATTTAGGGGGGGGGGGGTGCTCACTGTTCTTTTAGGGTCTTGAATAGCGAGAATAGCTTGGTCTGGCATAAGGAGGTGATTGGGTGGATTAATAAGTGGATTGCGGATGCATAAGGGTGGGATTTATATGAATTTGATGGCAGTTTTGAAGCTTCTATCCTAATTCTCCCGATAATATAAGGTTCTTTGGAGCCTGTAATTGCACGCAATGGATACTCTAGAATAGAAACGTAAGAGTACTCTTTTCCCTGGGGCCTGATCATCGTGCATGGAGGGTAGGCTAGCTACATCCCTAGAAACGGTCGCCACACGTCCCTAACATATAGTTTTAACGGCGTGAAAGCCCTGCTTGACCGTGCTCGGATGGGTTCGTTTACTCACTGGTGGTTCGAATTACGTAGAGGTTTCAGGCCACGGAGAAGGTGATTATTAAACCAGGCCCTCTTCCCAGTTAGGTTCTTATCCGACCTTTTATAACTTGAGTTGCGATAAGATATCATGAAGAAGCTTTCATGCCTAATTATAAACCCCTGAAAACCAGAAGTTCTGCTCTCTTTCGAGCGGGGGTGGGCCGATCTGGATTGATGAAGTACGCCCAACGAGATCCGGGAGTTTTGTGAAGCGCTGGGTGAGTAGAATAATACGGTATTAAAACCCCGCAGTCTAAGCTCCGGTCAATGTTCGCACAATGAGTCACATCGAGCCTAGGCACATCAACCTTGAACCGCATACAGATTATGCCTCGTTTTCGTCACGCTTAATCCAAGTGTAAGATTTGTATACAAGTCTAGTAATGTAGTCCTGCAATCATTTGAAATGAATTTATTCTGTATTGGAAATTTAATCTTCAGTCATATGCGTTTAGTCTTTTTCTGAAATAAAAATAAAATAGAAACTATTGTGATTACATTTCTTAGTGATTCAGAATTTAAGAAAGTAATAAAACTAAGAGATAACAGTTTGTCGCCAAAATTAAAAGCTCACGAAACTTTCAACAGCTCAACAGAGATCTTGTCTAGTTAAAAATCTACCGAAGTGTCAAAATAACTGGTATCCGGGGATATTCTCCAGTTGTCAGTACTCGTGCTCCACTTCCTGTTGGATTGAGGTAAACCCTGATCATTCTATTGGTGCTTCCTTTGGTAAACTGTTCATGATATTTTTCCAAAACATCAAATTGTGACTGAAAGATCGTCATTGTATGACATACAACACTGCCCTCTTGATAATCGTCTGAATCCTCAGGATAGTGATCATGAAAGTCTTTTCCGGCTCCTTCGGCCCAGAACCGATCCAAGTATGTCTTAATTCTCCGAAGTGACCTTGGCAGTGTTCTCGAATACCATGGGTGGTATAAGTTCCAGTAAATATTCTGTTCATTTTTATCGTTACTGGTCCTACCAGGATGGTGGAGAAGGTCGCTATGCATTTGTACTAATTCCCGAAGTTCAGCAAGAATTTGTTCCAATTTAGCCATTGCTTCTCTGCTGTATAAGAGTTGTCGATATGCTCGTTCCCATTTGTCGGCATTCCATTCGTTGAGGTAATCAATTGGACCTTTAAGATCTCCGTTTTCGAGGAAGACAAGCATCCTTCTGGTTGAGAAATAGTGTTTGGTAATGATAAGGATAAGTTAGAATTGAATAATAAAGTTGGTTTAGTCGAAGCAACATTTATTTCAACTTGTTTTATAAACACCAATCCTGATTTTTACTTTCTATAGAAATTCTACCCCTCAATACCTAACTAACTTGTTGGTTATCAGAAATATATTCTATATTTTAATTTCAAGTAAAGATAAATTTTCAATAATTTTAATGAATCAAATATATTAAGACAAATATTAATTCTTTCGCGCATTGGAGACTTCTCATTGGTCGAGAGTAGAAACCCTGACCCTGCATAGCAACCAGCCCACCACCAAAAGATTTAGGGCCCGTTCGCGGTTGCACTCAAATATGGTGATATTTGATCTAAAAAGGCATATTTGTTACCAGATTTATGAAGACCCTCTCCCTATTAGGCCAAATATCACGATATCTAGGTGCAACCGAACGAGCCCTTAATCATTCTTTCCTTCAGCTGTACAGACTGGATTTAACGATACAGACCGAATAAACCTTTAAAATACCCTGGCATGGATAGTATTGAGATTTCATGAATGTATAGAGAGAGCTATATATCATCAGCGGGTATCAAAAGCTATTAATTCATTAACGGGGTACAGGGAGTTATTTTATCATAATTGGGTGGTATTGGGAGATACCTTAAATGAGGTATTCACAGCAGAATGATCAACTGGCAATGGGTTCAAGAGGTCCCTTCACTGGCGGACGTTTTGCGGGTGGGGGAATCGAGTCGATGGAAGGCCCCACGAAAGGCACTGAATTGGAGTAAAAGGAACTCGCGCTCTCGAGTCCGGCCACTGCTAGTGTACCGGGGGTCAACCATAAATACTGAGAATCTGATAAGATAAACACACCTATCTCACAGCAAGATTCCCTTATCAGATTCTTCGTATTTACCCTCAACGCCCGGTACATGTACTTACATGTAGTTACATTTACCCGCTGTTGTCGAAAGATGCCAAAGTTGGTGCCAAGAGAGTATCAGATTAGATCTTTCTATCTCTTTTATCTACAACCAAGAAATCCTTATGATCCGCTCCAGCGCCCACTCTATCAGCGGTAGTTCCGGTAGCATAGTTGATAACGCGCCCGATTTGGGTATCAGTAGAACGTTTGCCACTGGAGATGTGGGTTCGAATCCCTCCCGAGAGCTGCTGTATCTCTGCTTAAAACTTCTTTTTTTGCTACGGAGATGTAGATACCAAAGCAAGAGATACATAACCATAATAAAGTAGCAATATAGAGAGAAATCTATCATAATTTTATATTCTCGAAATTCTGTTCCCACCAACCCCTAGTAAAGTTCGGTCATAGTTGTTCAAAAAATAGTCTCAAGAAACGGCACGCATATACACCTAGTTCCACTGGTAATATATCTTATGAATGCGTTGCTAAAAATCCAGTATTCAAACTATATTAACGCAGTTGAGTTATATATAATTATATAATACATCAGCGGAAAATCCTGCTCCACCGGGACGAGCAGCACGTCCAGGCGCTCAAATCTGTCCTTACATTTGGCAAAACCTTGTCTTATATATGCCTAAAACTGCTTCCCGCAGCTATCACGGCCCGACCAACTCCATCCCCCTTACCGTCGAAACACCCTACTAGGAATCGGGTTGTTGGGTGAAGGATCGGTGGGGTTCAGATAAGAATTACTTGATTTGGATATTTCTTGGCCCAACTGAAGGTTACCTATCTCTGTCCTTTGACGTCTATACAGATCACACTGCAAACTCCTAATCGATGCCAAATCAGAATCAAATTGTTGCCCAAATCGACACCAAAGCAGCATCAAGTCAGTACCAAATCGACGTCTCGATCGGATCCAATTCATCAACCAATTGTACCAAGTCTGCTCCCAAATTGATGCCCAACGGTGTACTAAATAGACGCCACATCAGAAGCATGTAGGCGTGGAGGAAATCAGGCTGTTCAGTGGGCGGGTAAGTAGGCGTGGAGGTAGGCAGATAGGCAGGCGGCGCATGGGGGTCGGCAGGCGGGCATGTAGTTCAGGCAGGTAGGAGAGACAACTAGCGGTCAGACAGCGTGTAGATCCGGAAGATAGGCAGCATGCGGCGATAGGCACGGAGATGGGTACCTCACTCGCAAATGTATATAGAGAATTGGGTAAACAGAATCAGGTAGACAGACAAAATAATCTGACAATGATAGCTAGTACGGAAGCCTTATCCTAGCTATCAATGTACCTTTTTCCGAGTGATCCCACATATTCTAACAGAAAAATCACCAGCAAAATCACCAGCAAAATCACCAGCAAAATCCGTTAACCGGCCCAGAGATACTTATGTCTAGATGAGTATTGACGGCCTGAGACGACCTGATTTGTCGCGGTATGCCAGAGAGTTTGTTAACATGTAGCAAAACCTCTTAGGACGTCTCGGGCTCGTATGTCTGGTACACCTGGTTCGCCCAGATGCACCAAGACGAAACCCAATTTCTTGCTAGCTTGAATGAATACAGAGATTGGAAGAATAATTTTAATTTATTTCGATAAGGTAAGATTTTGTAATAACTTACATTGAAGAGAAATCGATTACAACAACAAAAGTAATAGTATTCCTGTTCGATTATTTGTATTATGGATTTGTGGTAACCGTCGGAATATCTCCAACCAACCTAAATATACTTGCACCTCTCGCAGTAGAATTCAAATTTCGCCTTATCATCGCATTATTGTTCTGCTCACATAGGTCCTTGAAAAAAACCTTCAAAACACCATATTGATTGCTGATAAGGCAATAAGTCAAATACTCATAGCTAGTCTTCTTCAAATTTGATACTCTTTCATCTGGGTAATTGTCAAAATATATTTTTCCTGAACCACGTTCAATAAAGGTCTTTAGCCCGGTACCTATCTCATAAAGTAATGTTGTTCTTTCTTGAAGATACCAATGAGAATATGTATTCCAGTAAGCAATATAATCTTCCGGATCAGTACTTGTTCTCTGAGGATCCCAGAGAAGATCACTGTACTTCTGTACTAATAGTCGTAATTTATCTAAAAGTTTCTCTAGGATTGTTTTTGCAGCGTAGGCGGAAGGAACCTGCCGGTAAACCTCTTCCCATTTCTCTTCACTGAAATAGTTTAAGTGATCTGTTGGACCCTGAAGATCCCAATTTTCGTTAAAATGAAGCATGCTAAAATGGATACCGATAGATATTTTGTTGCTAAATATAGTTTTGGTTTTCCCACCAGATTTCTATTATTGCAGTATTTAAACTCACTGGTTATTGATCCCCCATTCTATTGCATCATCTCTACCGTGGTCTACATTGATTCAAGAAAGTTAATTTTTGTATCGCATTCTTAAATATAATATTATTCCTAATGAATCTATCAAACATAATTATATTTTAGTAAGAAAATAGACAAAGAGACAAATAATAAATCTAGTATTATAAGTATGTTACCACGGATTTGTAATTACTGTTGGAGTAAGTTCGTTCAACTTAAAAATTCTTGCCCCTCTTCCAGTCGGATTTAAATTTCTCCGAATCAGTGCATTATTATACTGCTCACTGGCAGACAGGTCTTTACAAAATCTTTTCAAAACATGATATTGACTTTGTAAAAGGCAGTAAGCCATGTACCTATAACTTTTGTTGTTCAAACGATCTAGTTCTCCCTCACTATAACTACCAAAAAAGTCTCTGCCTGAGCCACGCTCCAGAAAGGTTTCGAGCCCGCTTTCTAGCTCATCAAGTATACTCGGTCTTTCTTGAACATACCAATGACAATATGTAGTCCAGTATGCATTGTACTCTCGCGGATTGTTGCTTGTCCTGTGTGGGTTGTGCAGAAGATCACTGTATCTTTGTACTACCAGTCGCAGTTTATCGAGGAGCCTCTCCAGTACAGCTTTTGCATGGTAGGCAGATGAGACTTGTTTGTACACTTCTTCCCAGTCTGCATCTGTATAATAATTTAGATGGTCCTTAGGACCCTGAAGGTCTCCATTGTCATAAAAATGTAGCATGTCTAATGGTGAAAAGGAAAGTATTGATGTATGCTGTTCGGTCTAGTCTTGGTTTTTTTTAACTAAGATATTGACATGACCCTATCTAATATACCCGGGTTACTATATCATAATTCTAAGTACTGCTCAACCTTTCTAAAAAAATCTATAGCCTCTGTTGTAGTTGTATTGCACTGCCACCTTACGACCAGGCCCGATCTTGCGACCATTAAATCTCCCTGAACATCTCATCACAGCTTGGTCGTACTAAAGTACAGTGAACACGAGCCAGCAAGGTGCCTGACCGCATCATATCCTGGGTCAACACTCTTATTCCTGGATCCCTTATCGATTTCTCGGCCATCCAATCCATAGTATTATCCAGCCCCCCACCCCTTCAAGGGTCCTTCCGGCAGCCTTATGCTCGATGATTAGGCCAATTAGATACAATAGAATTTGATATATATATATACGTCTAAAATAATGGTAACATTGAAATCCATTACACATCGTAGTCAGCCAGCTCCCGTTGCGGTGTTTTTAGCTTGAGTCATACTCGCTCACTCGGACGGCTTCACTGTCAAATTCATTCCTATTTCGGAGTAACCTCAGGTTTATCGCTGTGACTACGTTGGGCCTCACGGGAGGGGGATGCGGTGGGCGATGTGATTCAGTTCAGCAGCCGTATAAGCTCCCCCTGAGTTCGTACGAATCAAACTTTCGAGATCATGGGATATCACTCGGCTTAACGGAGGGGGCTTTGATCTATACTATAGGGCCAAACAGCAAGCCTGACAGCTCAGAGTTCTTCTGTTTGGGACAAAGTGTGTTTGAATGCTTCCTATGGTTAAGCTGGTCTTGGGCTAATTGGATGCATATGAGGGCCTCACCTCGCCTTGGGAGGCGACATGTATATTCTACGCAACGCCGGGACACCAACTTTTCACAACCCGGTGGCGCTGCCCCATACCCAAAAAGCCAAGGGAGCTGATAATTTGTAGAATAGTTATCTAGTGTATAAAGGGGGAATAAATGGCATTTAAAATATCCTGTGTACCAACCTATTGCCTTTATTATAGCCTCTACCCTCGTAGGCATACTTTCAACCTGCCTACCAAATAAAGCATCCGGTTGCAGTTCCCAGCAATGAATAAGAGCTGCCTCCAAGAGGGGCTTGCTTACTTTAGGTGATCTAGTATCATATGTCAAATGGGGGTAGTGTTGATGGCAGAGCTTCTTGAGGTGTACCCAAACATGCTCAATGGGATTTAGATTCAGGTGAATAGGCAGGCCAGCCCTCCAGAACATCAGCCCCGTTCTCCTCCAATCATTGAGTGGTAGTTTCGGTAGTGTGTGTACCTTATCATTATCCTGCATAAAAGATTGACCTGATACCCTTCTCCCGTATATAGCTCTCCCAAAAAAGTGTGAAACCTTTTTTTGTTCTGATGGTTGCCGGCGTTGCGGCGGCGTTGCACCGTTGCGCACTATCGGTGATTTATGTCCTCGCGCTGTACATCTAGGCAGTGTATATATCAACCCTGAAAGCCCCAAGTCCACGCTCAGCTGCTAGTGCCCGAGTTAATTGGAGCATTGAATGGAGTTTGCATCAGGCCCCGGGGCCCGATTCGGTTACAGAAAGAACCATACTATATCATCTCGCATGCCAGATACCATATTAACTGCGAGCCAGGAATGTGGGGCGGAACTCACGGCCTCCAGAGTGTTGGCCTTGTACTTGCTCGGCACTATATATTGCGCTGTTTGGTTGGGCCCATTCTCTAAGCCAGCGCTCGCGTTTGAGATAAGTTCGATAGTACTGACTACTCACGCCGGTGATATAGAGAAACCTTTTACGCCTTCCCAGCCGATCGGGTATCTATCTTTCCATTGCCATGCACGAATGTCTGCATGCAACTAATGAATCAAACAAAACAAAAAGCCATCCATCCTTCCAGAGCCCCGGCATTCAGGAAAAACAACCGCTAACCCGTCCAGCGCCTCTAGCTCGCCCAGTTCTCTCCTTACAGTAATCGCCAGCTGGTACCACCCACGGCGGGAAATAAAACCACGACAAAGCTTGCTGCGCTTTGCTGCTAATCCGGGGATCACAACCCATCACTCGACCCAGTGACTCCCGCCACACCACAACTACGGGGCGAGCAACAAA